TTAACAGACTTTCTCCTGAACTGTACGTCTTCTTGATTACAAATTAAAACCACTTGGTTTAGTTCAGCAACATGAAAAAGGCTAACTGCAACAACCAGCAACAACAACAACAACATTGCAGCAATACTAAACTAATAAAAGTTTAAACTAAATTAAACTGAAACCTTTCGTTGTAAATCAAATCGTATAACATGCAAAAATTGAGACAGTTCGCAAGACGGACGGATCTAAAATTGTTAAAGATAAAATTATATCTGCTATTATTGTGGCGAATTAAATTTGTGTGTCTTTTGTGTGGTAGTTTTTGTGGGAGTTTCTATTTTGAAGTCTAGTGACACCTTAAACCCAAAAGGAATGTTTTATAGTTATAAAGTGGTTGTATAGCCGATATTATTTGCAAGTGCACAGTGGGAATGATGGCAAAAAATTGTCCAACTACTGTATCTCATATAAACAGTATTCAAAAAATAAGATATTGTATTTTGGGCGGTATTTCGAAAACTATTTCTTTGAAATCACTATTGTGATCTTGAAAAGATCCAGACGAACTGAATATCAAATGGATTTTAAATTACCATCTTGTATTTTATCTCATACTAAACTGCCAGACATTTTAAGGTACAGACTCACATCATATTTGTGATATTTATGACCCCACTCTCATGACTCAAGCACACAAATTGGAAGTACCAAAAATTTCGCGTTCGTTATTGGATCGAAGCTCTTCTAAATTAAAATTTCTTTATATTCTTAACTAAAACTTTTGAAAGGAGAACCTGAAATATTAATTTAATGGAATATGACCTGGATTTCGCCGAATGTATCGGGAACACATTCTGGCCAACATTCTTACTTTATAATAAAAACCTAGACGAATTGGAAAGAAGGAGCAAAAGTGAGCAATTATCTTGTCAGTTTTGTCTTAGCTATTAAAACGTATATAGCAGATCAAGAACGAAGTCGTTTATTTTCTCGAATAGTACTTCAGTATTCTCCGAGCATATGTCCCAATAATGATACAATAAGGATCAAGATGTTTTAAAAGGATAGCAGACCTCTAAAATATTTGATGAACTATACATACAGCCAAGAACTCCATGAAAATTATGAAAGAACTGCGATGACAAGTTTACTCCTATTCAAGAAACGTCAAAAACAAAATATATCGTTCTTAACATAAATCCCTTTATCTGTCACCTCCCACTTCGTTAGGGGGAACATGAAATATTGTAGAATAACTGAAAAAGTCTTGACTTCCTTACTGGGAATTTGAAGAATTTCGGAATGGAAACTGAAAACAATAACGACAACTACCCAGCTACCGAGTAAGCAAACAACCAATCATTCTTACTTTATAATAAAAACCTAAACGAAGTGGAAAGACAGAACCCATGTCGTCTTTATCTTAGATATTAAACCGTATATAGTCGATCATTATTTATTTTATCGGATTGTATTCCCTAAAGTAGTTTTTAAGGGCAGAAATCCTTAAAAATTATGGACAAACAAAACAAGCCTGTTTTGTCTTTGATTTCAAAGGAAGCAAATCTCTTAAGATACTGAAAGACTATCACCCAAGAACCTATCACGAAGTTCTTTCATATTTAGGGTTCAATAACATCCTAAAGAACAATTGCACATGTCCTGTACACTCTCTGAAGAGTGCAAATAACTGGACCTGATACATGTAGTAACAGAAATCACCCTGCTCAATATTGTGAGATAATGTAATTGAAGTTTAATTCAAAATTACACAATAACATTCAGACGAAACTAGAATGCATTTTGGTAAAGTCTATTTTAAAGGACCTTTAGATATACTGACTGAAATATGCTCTATATACTAAGAGAACTACACACTAACTCCTAGCAAATTCTCGGGAAAATACAGGTTCAAATGGAGATACATTTTCGAACTAAACCAGAAAGGTCCACAATTGTAGCAGACATCGCTCTGTTAAATTGTAATAATAAGATTTATGTTAAATCCAAACCAACAAGTCATTAACCTTCACGGTTCGATGCAGAGGCTGCAAGCTGTTTTCGTTTTCTAAAAACTATTAAGTATTATAAAAAAAACACACTTGCAGCATGGACCATGTTCCTAAGATTGATGTTGCATATTGCATTTCCGTTTCATTAATAAACAAGTACATTTTTATCTAATAAAATAGACAACGTTGTTTGGTTTTCAAACGAATTCTTGTTAGAAATATTTTGTGTTTATTTATGTTTCCACAATGCAATCGAAAACAAAACACTTGGAAGTTTTCTTTGAAATAGTAGCAAAAGTGTAGATTGTTTATTTGCAAACCCAGTTGGAAAATTTTAATAAATTTCTAACTTCAATATTTAACGAAATTTGAACTACTAGACCTTAATTTAATACAATATCAGCAATTAGATTAATGTCACTTCCATGGATTTTATCTTGTACTAACTTAGCTATGTCACTGACAAACTAAAAGTATTGATTAGAAACCGAAAACCAGATGAGAGTTATAAGCTGCTGACAATGTGCTGAAATGTCTTGTATAAGCTTAAATTCTACTCAATCTTCTGTTAACTTATCTATGTCACTTGACAAACTAAAAGTATTGATTAGAAACCGGGAACCAGATCAAAGTTACATGATTCTGACAAAGTGCTGAAATGTCTTGTATAATCTCATATTTGAAAAATTTTTTCTCAAATTTTCAAGTCTCCATTTCCAACTGATATTTTTGTAATAATCATTTTCGAATAATTTATTTTTATTTATTTACATTTTACCGTTTTTTCAATGTTACCTCATTTTTTGTTTAGTTAAAGGAAATTAAATACAAATGTCAAATATTGATGTTTCAAGGGTCAATGCATATATTTGCATTTAAATTATAGGTACTATACATATTATTATTTTTTTACCCATAAAAGAGCACCTGTTGTTCTTGGCCGTTTTTTGTTAGATGCTTTTTTTTTGTAATTTATGAAAATTGTCCACGCACTTAGAGGTTTTAGTGTTTTTGTAAAAATTAATTGAGGGTGCATTATTTTTTAGTGTTGTTGTTGCTGCCTTAATGACAATTAACCCTAATTTGTATGAGTAAGTTTAAAATACTTTTACTGGACTTTGATGATTTTTTAATTTAGTCTTGCACAGTTGAATTATTTTCTATTAGTAATCACACTAACTTGTATTTATTAGATAAAAATGCAGTTTATTGGAACGAGTGTTGTAAAGTTGTAAAGCAAAAGGACGTTGCCATGACAGCTAAATTTTATAATCTTGTCAGTAAGGTAATAAACTAAAAAAATGGGTTAACTAATATAATACCCGAGTTTTCTATCAATAAATTTTTTTTGTAAAAAATCAGTTACTAGCGTGTGACCAAATAAAATGTGCAATTCAAAGGACACAATCAAAATTTGTACTTATGTATATGATTATATGTAAGTAATTATAAGAGTTCTGAAAAGTAATTCAGAAGGTAAGTAGTTGCCATTAAAGAGTAAGTTGTTGTGCAAGTACAAGTCATTACCAAGAGTTTTAAAATCTTCCGATGTGACTTAAGTTCTCAATCGAATGCTACAAGTCTGCCAAAAAAAAACAACTTATTAAAACCGGTTTAGGCATGTGGGATTATCAAATCCACAAGTCAAAGTCGTTGAAAATACCAGGGCTCAATAACTAGACCATAATAAACTGTATTATATTAAACGCTTAAAACTATTGCTTGACATAGTTGAGAACCTTATATGTAGTGTGGTCGTGCCTTTAGTGCGATCATTAGCTCTAGCGATCATTAGTCAAAGCAAATATGGAAAATGCCCCACTTGGCCAATACACTCATGTAATTCGCAAGGGAATAAATGCCAGGAATTGGTTTTTCATATAGAACGGATAGACCGGACGGACGCTAGTCAATGAGAACAATCCTACAATGCTTAAAAATTCCGGGAATTTCGTCCTATTTATTTAATCGAGTCGTGAAAAATTGTGTCCAGTTAACTTAAATCGCTATGAAAACAATCAAAAAAAAAACAATTCAAAACTGTAGACCAATATTGATTCCAAAATTCCTGATTGATTCCATTCCAGCTGATTTAATGTGAAAAATTTTATCCATGAAAACTGATCGAACCCTAAATTCCTGGAATTTTGGCAGATTTGTCTACTCGAGATGTAAATAATTGTGTCGGGCGTATTCCCTCGACCAGCTTTTCCGCTGCAAACATTTATAAATAGTGTTAAATCGGCCGATTTGTTTACTAGAGTTGTAAAGAATTGGGCCCTTTAGTAATCGGTGTTGCCTGATCATATTGAAGAAAGACTTCTAACCTAAAGTTAGCATATAAAAGATTTTCGGTAGACTCTTGTTTATATCCAAACTCCCCCACATAGTATAATTCTCTTAATCCATGAAAGGATCTTGACCTCTTTTAATAGCAAATTAGGAAAGTATGTACGAGCATGGGGATGGATAGTTCTCATCTTTAGCTTTTTTCTTATCCTTCGTTCAATACAATCTTTCAAGCTGAATAATAAGTGTTTTCCTCCCGAATTAGTAGACGTTCAACGAGGCATTTGGTCCAGAGGAAGATTTCTGAGAAGAATTAAATCTGTGCCGCATTCAATCACGTCTTTAGAATGGCAGTTTTCGGGGGGATCCTGAACCAATTCCTTAACAGAAAACTTTTGGTTTGACCTTGTGCGTTCTCGTTTAGAACAGTCTTATGGTTCAATCCCTTATTCTATTACACAATCAGTTTCAATGTTGCTTTATCCCGCAAAATCAGGACATTTTTAAGAGGAATTTGGTCCAGATGGACGATTTCTATCACTGGACTTTTTTTAAAGAATAATTTTGAAATGAGATGAGTTAAAAAATAAATTGGAAATAAAAAATTACTTTACTGTTAAAAGTCTATACAAAAGTGACGAAATTTTCAATCTACTCTTATAGATCGTCGATAGGTTTTTTACAATTAAGGATAATGTTAAAAAACTTAACACTCACCCATTTTTTAAAGAGTTGAACAATGAAATCCATTGGATTGGCACTTAGATCAGAAGTTTGGCATTTAAGATCTTAAGACTGCAAAAAGAATCGTGCAAAGATCTTTTCTCCTCTCGGGGAGTAAATAACACTAAAAATATATAGCAAACTAATTTGAAATTAACTATTAACTTAAACTTTTAAGAGCCAAAGCGTAATTTTTTTTGTTCTAAAAGTTTTTTTCAGTAAAGAAAAACAAAGCGAAATTAGATTTACACCCAACCAATAATTAATGAGTTCTTTAGAATCGAAAAGAAATTTTTATGAAATATTTTCTATTTTAAATTTTCAATATACTTACACTAAGGTTGCGTACTGATGGACATTAAAGAAATTCAGTGGCGAAATAATCCCACCAAAGTAAATGAAAAAGTTATTGAAATATTTCTCTGGCTTTTGTAGTTTTTTTTATTCCACCAAAAAGAAAATATCTGTTGAATATTATTGACTGACGTTTGTTATTAGCTGAATTGAACAACTGGTAAAATTTCCGGTGTTTTGTAATGCGTTTAAGAGAAAATGTATTAAAATTTTTGCTGAAGTTGACTAATGATTGTAAGCACTTTTTCTATTTTACGTAAAATGTTTGTTTTTTTATTGTGGTTCCAATATTATTGACTTGACGAAATTGGTCACCTTAGAAACCGCACTAAAACGTGTATTTTTCCTTTTTACGTTTTTCTGTATTTTATTTTCGTTGTAAACGGGCGAATACAACACGCACACTTTGAAACACGTTTTAAACACGTAAAGGATTAAAGCAATTTTTAGACGTATTGATTTTTTATTTATATTTTGTTAGCTTTTTTTAGCTGGTTTAATGCGAGAAACTGAATTTTTGTAGAAATGCTTTGAAAATTAGTTAAATAAAGAGTCTGGCTGGTTGAGGAAGTCAATGGAACACAATGGCATAAATATTAAAGTAGTTGGTGTTGGTTTGTTGACGTACTACTGTGGACAGTTAGCAGCTGGTTATTGAGTGTAAACACACGTCAATCCAATTAGAATAACAAATGGTTTTAAATTACAGATTTTTTTTGCTGTGTTCTGTTCCACCATACAACTCTTTACTAGATGCAAATAAACACAATAGATGTTATTTTCTTTTTTCTCACAAAATAGCGGGAAAACGCCTTTTTTCGCTTTAATATTTTTACTTTAATATTTTAAAAATTTGATTTAAATTTCAAATTAAAAACACTTATACGCCTTGAGGCACACACTTTCAATTAATAACGCGTTAAAACGTCGTTTACTTTTCGTTAAAGGCCTTTAGCGTTTAGGCGTTTAAACGCTTAAAAACAATTTACTTATATTACACCGGAAATTCTTTTTATCAAAAAAAAAAACACACACACACATAAAATAATATTAAATAAATAAATAGATTTATATCGAAATGTATTAAGAAACCGCAACACGCGACGCGACGATTTTTCACACCGAAATTATGAAAGAGAGAAAAGAAGAAACACGTTCGTTTTAAGAACTCAACAATGCTGAACTGAATTCATACTAGAATTTTGTTACCCCATCAAGTATCAGTGTGGACGGACAGACAGACAGACAGACGAATAGATGTATAGAAAGATAGACAACAGGGGCAGCGTAACACTTTTGCGCAAAAACATCATCAACAAAAACAACACAACAGATACGTAAAAAAAATATATATACACGGAAAATTCAAAAGAAAACCAAAGAAAACAGAACAACAAATAGATGAAAAGAAAAAAACAACTTTAGACTGAAAGTGAAACACAATTCTCTAGTGTGCGGTCTTTTTGGTTAAACAAAAATACACACAAACATTTATAAATGAAATATATATTAAACATTTTTTTGTCCTACGGTCCATGTCTTTGCTAGCTAATGATATGTTAAGTTGGGGCAAAGGTTTGTAGAAAGAGTTATTCATATATTTATTGTGATTTAAGAGATTTAGAAGAAAACCTAAATTTCAGTTTTCCAAGACCAAAAGAAACTGTTTCTAAAAATGTTCGTAGCTTACATTATCGTTATTAAAACCCTAAAGTTTTTTACCAAAACGGTACACGATTTAAGATCTTTAGTGGATTTGTTCGCTGCACCTGTACGAGTAGAATTAATCGTATATTGTGTATTCCATGAAAATCGATTTCGAATCACACCGAACATCCTCTATTACAATGATTTACAAATAGTGGTCCGTGGACCCCTATTAGTTTGTAGTAAAATCTTAGGGGTCCGCGAAAATATAAAAAAATCTTAAAAATTAATTTTAACAAACAATGTTGATGGCGAATAATCTGAATGGCAGCCAATTAGTTCTTAAAGATTTTAAAGTTTAGAAATATTGAGATAAAAGTTCTTCAGAAAAAAGTCCTCCCGAACACTCATGCTACTGAATCACCATCTCTTTATATCTATAAAAAATATGCATTTCTGGTAGATCGGGGATTATAATTTTTGTTTACTGATCTAACAGTCATCCGTTGAAACTTCCACCCACAGCTTGTGGACAAGGACATAATGATAATTCCACACATTCAATAGTCAAACCTTATCTCATTAAAAATATTTTACTTTATGCTCTTTTGACTACTTGCTCTAGCAGATAACGATCGAATCATTAGAAGTTTCGATGATTTTCCGAAACTTCACAGCAACAACTTTACCGCCTGTAATTTGATAAATCAAAATCTAATAGATTTGAATGAAAGGTTTCGTTGAGATGACACGATTACCAAACATTCTATTAATAAAAATATCAATTATATAACCGGATGTTGAACGATCTTGTTGGAAACATATGTAGATACTACACTGTTGTGAATTACTTCTAATTTCAGTGTATATAAGAACAATTGGTGCATCGAAACTGTAATCTGATCAGCTTCCGTGATCCTGTAAAGTTAGATGTATGTATGTATTTAAAATGTATTTAAAACCTTCGTTAAACCCAATGTATGTATTTAAAACCTTCGTTAAACCCAAATGAATCACTTTTTGAGAATTTTATCTCGAACGTACTGTATGTCACATCTATATAGACAATGTCAAATTGCCGCTCAGAAACTGCAATATTATCGTCTTCTGAGATGAGGTAGTTCGAAGTCAAGCAAACTTAAATATAATGTAATCTATATTTTATAAAAGCAATGAGAAATATAAGCAATTTATTTCCAAAGGAATTTGAATTTTAATGAATATTTTACCAAAAATAAATCCATGTACATATTTTCGAACGACCAAATCCGTTATGTGTCATTGGCGCCTAGATACTGTGTGATGGATCGAGTTAAATGGTATTTTGTCACTTTTATTACAATGAATAGGGAAATAAATTTCAATCAACTTTTGCTTATCGATCATAGAATACATGAGAATCCAAATCATTACTACTAATAACCGAATTAATGTGATTCATTCTAGGTAAACATAATAAGAAAGTCATTTTGAAATATAAAAAGTTGAATAACGTTTGTCTGAAAATCATTCGAGCGTCTAAACGGCAAACATAATTTAATTTTACTTCGAATGTGACATTAAAGATCAATATCATTTACATCCAGAAGCTATTCAACTTTTAATGTGAAACTCGGAAATTCTCCATACTTTAATTACTATGATGTCCATAGGATTTAAATCATCTTTAACTTCTTGATAATCGATTAAGATCTTACCACCAGCGCCATGAGTCTTATTGACAATTAAAAATATATGTAGGATGGATTTAAAAACTGTTGTAAATCACAGGGTTTCTAAATTAAGTTCACATCTATCTAAAATTTAATGAAAATTATGTGATCTTTTTATTTTTTTTAATATTTTTATATTCTTTAGAACCTCGTTATTATTCATTTCGATATAATTTATAATCATGTAAGATCAAAAAACATTCTTTTTGTCAAATATTTGATAGCGTGAACGTAGCTTATACTAATGATACCTCTGAACTGTTTCCAATAAAAAATCTTGATCTGAACTGTACCTGAAGAACTTCAGAGTGTTATTATACCAACGTATGTATTTATCGAAACTACTACATAATTCCCAATTTCGATTGATATCGAAAACAGTTATGTTTTATTCTACTATGATCATTGATCCTATTGGGTTTAAAAGAACACCTGAATAGTTAATGATCCCTATAGCTTCCTAGGCATATTACAAACTATCTGACTTAATATTATATTTATGAAGTTCAGACAAACATCTGATGGAATATGTATATGCAGTCGACTATAGCCAACATAGAATCATTCCCATTTGTCTTCTTACGTCAAAGTAAGAAGCACACATTAAAAGAAAACAATTTAAAAAGCACAAAGTAAAAACAAAAAAACACAAACCTAAAAATCAACCCTCTATACAATGTAAAGAACAAAAACAATAAGTTCACCACATTAAGAAGAATATTAACAGAAATGAGTAAATTAAGATGATGATACAAATAAACAAGTAAATGAGTGAGTATTTTAAACTAAATGAAATTACCCACACACGTTTTAATAGAAAAAATCAAAAAAAATAAATATATATGAGAAAAAGCACTAAAAAACACACAACTCAATATATCGGTTAAACAACACACATCCCAAATCAAATCCCAGCAAATGCATCGGTTAAACCATACAAGAAAAATTATTTAATATCAAACTTTTCAGAAGTATTTGTCATGAATGCTACCCTTTCCTGCGATATATACCCTTTCCTGCGATTCAAAAATTCAATTAAAAAAATCCCTACCAAAATACTGATTTGATAAAAATTTAAAATTCGCTTAAAATTTATGTTTGTTGGGAAAGAAAAATTTGTTATTGTTTTTTGTCCGTCTGCAATATTTATTGATGTCTTTCCTTTCTTTCTTTAAATGAGATTCATTGAAATTTGTGTCTATATGCGGTGAGATGATGATCATTTTAATGTATTCTAAGATGTGTAAAGAAAAATAAAAGAAAAACACCTTTGTAAATCTAAATGCAGTTTGTCTGTCAATCACAGTCACATTTAAAATGACTCCTCAGTTGTTCATAAAATGAAAGAAAAAAACATTTTCCTGCTGTGATTCAATAAAATGCCACCAATTTGTAGGTGACAAATGGAATGTCGAACAAGTGTGTGGATTTTTTGATTTGATAAAAATTAGAATATTTAAATAATTTTTTGCTTTTTTTATAAAATTGAAATGTGTTCATAAAGTAATAAAAATTAAATATTATTGAGATTTTTATCTACATCTGCTTAAGGTTTGGGTTTTAGCTAAGTACATATTGATCTAAATTCGGAATCCTTTATCGATCTATTTTAATTTTAGGGAAAATATAATAAAAAAATTTGATGTTAGAATTATTCGTGCAAAATTTTAGGATTTTAGCTCTAATTGTTTCCCAGATAAATGAATTGTTCTGCTTAATTCACATGGTAGGTGCTATGCCCCTTATGGCTAATTTATTAAGCAAATGTTCATATGGATGTTGGGAGATGCCATGCCCCCTATTGCAAGCCCGCAAATTTATTACCCAAATAATCACATGGCTGCAAAAGTTGTTCGTGCAAAATATAAGGATTTTAGTTCTAATAGTTTCTCAGATGTACGAATTTTTACATTTATTTCATATGCGAGGTGCTAAGCCCTCCTAGTGAATGTCCGCCCGTTTTCCTCCACATGGTCACATGGAGGTTAAAGCAAAATTTGAAGATTCTTGAACTAATTGTTTCCCAATTTTTGTCCTTAATATTCATGTTGATACTAAAGTAGCTCCGAAAAATTTTAAGGTCTCTAATTGTTCTATTTTCTCAGATATACTAATTTAAGGATTTTGGAACAAACAATTAAAATTGACATCACTGTTTTAAACAGTTCTTCATATAAATTAAATATAAATTGTAAAGTACATAAAATTAAGAATATTTTAATTTAACTTACCTCCTACATACGATGACATCCTTGGCAGAAAATATAATTTGAATAAAACATTCATTTAATATGGCCGCATGCTGTTCATATTGTTATTGTTTGTATTAAGATGAGTTTGGCCTTGACCGAATTACAAAAATTGATGAGTAAGTGCACAACAACAAAAAACACACACACACTAAACATTTTTACACTTTTGATATGATTTTTTTATTTTTTTTTTTGCACAAACCTTAAACTTTACTTTTAGCTTATTTCTTTATTAAGTAGATAATAGACCCGCTTAGATTATTACAAAATTGGGTTGCTCCTAGTAAAAACAAAAGATGCTCGCTCCATTTGTAGACTCGCTGCTCCCCTAATTACCTTATTATTTAACAAACTTACCTTTAACTAAACTACCTACAGGGATTATTTCTTCTTGTGCTTTGTAAAGATATTATTAATAATTTAGAAGCTTTAGATTATAATAATTTTCCAATAATTTAACAAACACTTGATTGCTTTATGGCCTGTTGTATTCCTTTACAACAGGAAGATTTTTTCCAATTGGAAATTACAACTTTTTTACTTCGCTTTAAAACACTTTATTTCTTTT